GCGGCGGCGGGAACCTCGAGTCGCCCGGCCCCTACCGCCCGTTCTTTCAGAACCAGGTCCGCCGCACCCATCACTACGTGATGGTGCACATAAACGGCCCAACGCTCGAACTCCGCTCGTACGACTTGGACGACCGCCTCTTCGACACGGTACGGATCGAGAAGGTGGAGTAAGCAATGAGAACCACCAAGACGCCAGGAGCGCCGGGGTACGCCAAGAAAAGCAAGTGATTTGTCGCATCCTGTCGATCCTGTAAACCCCGTCTAAGAATTTCTTGGCGATCCCTGACGTTCTTGGCGGTTTCTCGAATTATCTTGCACAAAGCCTGCCCGGTCGTGCATCTTACGGGGTGTCATGGCCGAGATGCCCTTCCACGACCGCGTCCAACTCCTCACCGACCAGCTCGGCCTTGCCGGGGTCGATGTGCTGGGGGGGCTGTTTGACCTCACGGCCCAGCGGCTGGTGCGGCTCGCGGTGGCGATTACCCGAAATCAGTACGACGGCGAGGACGCCGTCCAGGCCGTCATGACGCGGATCGCCGTGCGGCCCGAACCGCTCCGCGCGGCACAGGCGCCGTGGGCGTATCTGCTGCGGATGGTGCGGAACGAGGCCCTGCTCATCGCCCGCAAGAAGAAACGCTGGATCACGACGACGCACTCGATCACCGACCTGGTGACCCGCCGCCGTGTCGATGAGCTTGAGCAAGAGGACACCCACCGGGCGGTGTGGACGGCTCTGCGGTCGCTGCCGGCGGCTCAGGCGGAGGTCGTGGTGCTCAAGACTTGGGAGGGAATGACCTTCGCCCAGATCGCCGAGGTCCTTGAAGAGTCGCCCAATACGGTCGCCAGCCGTTATCAGTACGGTCTGCAGAAGCTTGCCGACCGGCTCAAGAAGGCGGCGGCCGAGGCGATGGAAGACCGACCTCTTAACTTGGGGGGTCGGCGATGAGCCCACACAACAGGCTAGACTTTGAGGGACAGGACTTCGACGCCGCTGGCGTCGAGGCGCTTCTCCAAGCGGCCGGCGGCTACGTCGGCCCCTCGGAAGACCTGCGTCCCCGGGTGCTCGAAGAGGCCCGGCGGCTGCGGGGCGGCGAGCGCCGGCGTTGGCGGTCGTTGCTGGCCGGCGGGTCGGCGCTGGCGGCCGCTCTAGTGATCTCGGTACAAGCCTCGACGATGAGCCAATCCCTGTCGGAGGCGACGCCCTCGCACCGTGTCGCCCGCTTCGTCGCCGCTAGCGACGCCACAAGCAAATCGACCGGCGAGGGCTTGTGGGCGCTGGTGGACGCGTTCTTCGCGGTCCGTAGCCAGCAGGCCGACGCCTTCCGTCCGAATAGCGACGCCCCCGCCGAAGAAACTTCCGAAGGCGTTGCACAAATGCCGGCGGCCGACGGCTCGATGTAGTCAGAAGGCGGCCAACGGGACCGCCGATTTGGCGACCCGCACTGGCCCCCAATGGACGGCAATCGTTCTCAGTCGCTAAGTGACCTCGACGAGCTGCTCGTGTCGCTCGACGAAGCGGGCGTGGCGCTCGACCTTGGCTTCGGACCGGGGTCCTTGCGAGAGCAGCTCCACCATGGCGTCGCGACGCCCGCTCCCTATCGCCAACTCGTCGCCCACTGGGACGCCGACGACGAGATAGAGGTAAGCAGCCACCGCGTCGCCGCCCTCGACCGCGCCCTGGCGCCGGCCCAAGAGCACAACGTCTACGGCGGGCGGATGGCGACCGGACTCGCCTACCCGGCGGTGGTCGCGACGCTCGCCTGCGTGATCGCCGCGGTGATGGGCTACCAGCTGCTCCCGATCTATGAATCGACCTACGAACAACTCTACGAGCCGGTGAGCCCAGCCGTCGCCCGGCTGCAAGTCCTCCGGACTCTGACGCCCTTGTGGCTGGTGGCGGTTCCCCTCGGCATCGCCTACGGCGTCCGGTGGGCCAAGCGGAGCGACCATTCGATCCGGGCGCCACGGCGGCGCACCAAGCTCGCCGAATGGGCCGAGCGCTCCGGCAGCGAAGCGGACCGCCGAGCGGTCGCTGGACTTGAAGCGAATCAAACCCATCAACGCGCTTGGCGTCGCACGACCTACTGGCCGCTGATTGCGTTGGTGGTTGTCGGCGGCGGCGCGACGCTGCTGCTGGGGCTCGCGCTCTTCGAGCCGATGATCGAGTTGCTCTACCGCCTCGCCAACTAAACGATCGGAACCGACCTCTTCGATGCCCCGCTACCGCTACGAAGCGAACAATGACGCCGGCGCCGCTCTCCGCGGCGTGCTTACCGCGCCGAGCGTCGCCGCCGCTACGGCGCGGCTTGAGTCGCAAGGGCTGAGCGTGCGGTCGGTCGCGCTCGATGACCGGCAAATCGGCGAAGCCGAAGCGCCGTTGGCAGCGGCGGTGGATCGGCTCGTGGAAGCGCGTGACGAGCTAGCCGAACCCCTGACGGCGTACGCCGAGGAGTTCGCAACGGGACGCCGGCGCCGCGAACTTGTCTCCATCGCGGCCATGCTGCGGGAAGGAGACCGCGAAGCGGTGCTCGCAGCGGCGGGGAGCGATCCGGCGGCTTGGAGCGCGTTGCTCGCGGCAACAGCCAGCGGCGCCTCGTTGCAAAGTCAATTTGCGCGCTTCGTCGAGCGTGAAGCCACCGTTATCGAAGTGCGGCGCAGGCGACGACTTGCTTTGGCCTACCCGCTATTCATCGGCGCGCTCTGCCTCGTCTTCGTCTGGGGGCTTTCGTTGGTCGTAATGCCGACCTTCAACGCTATTTTCCGAGACTTTGGGCTCGAGCTCCCGGCCTTTACCACGTTTGTGCTCGCCCTCGGGTGCTTTCTCGCTAGCGGCGGAGGGCTGTTGATTCTTGGATTACTGTTAATTGCCGCCGTCTTGTGGGCGTTCTACCCGTGGTGGGCGCCGGGAAGTGTGCGTCGCGTCGTCGATTGGCTCGGCGGAATTCGGCGGGCGACCCGATCGCTGGTGAAGGCGCGGATCGCGGCGCACTTGGCCAACCTCCACGAAGCAGGACTGCCGGCGCCATCGAGCTTC